GTTAAATATTTAAATTAAATTGAGCGTCTTAACAGCTATTTTCAGTCAGTCTGAGCATAGTACTTAGTATTTGTTTATTTATATATATTTTTCAGATTGATCAGCAGCAGCACTTACATATAGCAATTCAGGTGGGAACTCAGACTAAGTATTACATTGAGTATAATTACAGTTATCATGTTAAAGGTGTGTATATTCAGTTCCTGCTCAGTGAGGCTAGACAAAGTAAGACCATCTGAGTTCTAGTGGCGTAATCTGCCCACTACAGTGTGCACATAGGCGCAGCGCAGTATATTATAGCCGCCAGATACAGTATTAGATCCCGTAGCAGTTACGGTTGATCGCAGCTACAGTACATGACATGACAGTTCAGTTATATATGCTTTAGATCATGATATTGCAATTATTATTACTGTTTTACTTTAGTATGAGTTTCTGCGGAGCACAGTGACCTTTAGTGCTCACGCCCCACTGTATTATTCTTTTGCAGGTGACAGAGTCGGTCCGGAGGAGTGAGCGAAGCCGGTGGTTGTAGTTTGTTTATATAGACTTTTGGACATGTATATATATGTTTTGCCACGTTTTGAACTTCCGCTGACACTTTCAGGTTTACAAACTTGCATGTAAATATTTAAGGTTTTCCAGTCAGATTGTATACAGTTTTACATGCCTGTTAACTGAGATAATCCATTTTCTTAATACTTTTAATTCGGGAAAGATAACGGATGTTAAATAAGAAGGGTTTTGCAGTAGCACCTCGAATGAAGATTTCGCAAGATTAACACATATTTTTCGAAAAGAAATTGCGAAAATTCGACTCTGATTTTATTAAGCTAGCGGGGTGTTACAAATGGTATCAGAGCACGTTTTTGTGTATCTGAATACTTTATTAAGTTAGAAATTTTCAGAAAGGATCTGACCACGCTACGCTCATGCCTCGCCGACTACAGGTAAGTGCTGAGTTACAGTTTATATATATTTAAATGGATACTTTAGTCTATGCTCAGTGAAAGGGTGTCAGATATTTAACCCTAGAAGTCAGTAAGATGCTCGAATTAGTGGTCCAATATAAGTCAATTGTCCCAGTTATTCGACATTTCGACTTTAGCTTCTCAGGATTAATATTAGCAAATCGTCAAGAGATCTGTGCGCATTAATAATCAGTAAAGTATTTTATCATGTCTGCGTTTGATTACGTTGATCTTTTCCAATATTCAGATGCCGCCTCGTAGAGAACCAGATCAT